ATAGGAGGACCGTTCCTGCAGTTAGTGCCAACATATCTAGTAAATATTTCACCATTTTGATTTTTGAACAGTTTATAGTTGGAGTCAAATGACTCATCATCAGAACGAGGATATTCACATGCAAAGCCAGATAAGTTAGATGGATCAACTGGAGGTCCCTTTGCAGCAACCCATGAGGTTTTGGGGTACTGCTCAGGCTTTCAATATGTACCATCAGCATTGAGTTTCCTCTCAAAGGCAATACCCTCTTTCCTAGGGTTCCTGTTGAGGATCTGCTTTTTAAGCACATCACAAAGAGTCTGATGCCCTTTGAGGCTTTTGTACATGCCTATCATGTACAATTCCTTCAGCCCCGCATCGTCAGTGATACTAACAGTGTCCTCATATGAGGAATTAGTGATAGCAGAGGCATGTGAAGAATTTGAAACATTAGCAGCATTTAAACAGTCTGGTGAAGAATTAGCAGTTTCACATTCAATGCACTTCAAGCATGGAGGAACAAATTCTTCCTGAGAAACGCTGATTTGTTGAGCAAGTATGAATCACGCTCATTCTGAAGATCTTCATAACACATATTTAGCTTTTCAAGACCTTGCTTTCTTTGAAGAAATTCATATGAAAGCTTCTCATGATCAGATAAGAGAGTGTTATGATGACCTTGAAGGTTGTCAAACCTAGACTGAAGTCTCTGAAGATTTTCAGTCAAGGTTTTAGTGCGATCCATTTCTTCACCCAACATATCATCACTTTTTTCTAGCATGTTTTGAACCTGTTCAAAAGCCTTTTGTTGTTTTACAGCAATCTTAGCAAGTTTGGAGTAGCTGGGTTTGAGGTTTTCATCAGATTCATTCTCACTTGATTCCAAGGAGGGGTATTTGAGTACCTTGGCACCTTTTGCCATGAAACAATAGGTGGGAGCGTAGTCATCATTATTTCCATCAGCCTTGTTGGTGAAGCCATTTTCTTCAGAGTTGAAGATGGATTTGCTGACGAAAGCAGTAGCGAGAGACAGGCTCGCCACACCAGACTCAGACTCCTCAGATGCCTCCTCTTCCTCATGTTCCTCAGAGTCAGCCTCAGAGTCCATTTCCTTGCCAATGAATGCCCGAGCCTTCTTGGAGCTGCTCTCCTTGTAAGATGAAGACCTTGAGGATTTTGATGATGATGATTTTGAGGACTTCTTCTTTTTCTTCGCATCATCAGAACTGTAATCCTTGTATTTCTTCTTATTTGATTCCTTTTCCCACCGAGGACAATCTTGAATATAGTGTCCAGGTTTCTTGCATTTGTGACAAAGCCTCTTCTTGTAGTCACTGGATGAGGAATCATTGCTCCTTGAGGATTTTCCAAAGCGACCACGCCTTGAGAACTTCTGAAATTTCTTCACGAGCAGTGCTAGTTCATGGCTCAGATCTTCAGGATCACCAAGGCTGCTACCAGAATCTTCATCTTCAGATTCAGACACTGCCTTGGCATTCAGGGCACGTGATCTGCCATAGCTCGAACCATAGAGATCTCTCTTTTCAGCAAGCTGGAACTCATGAGTATTTAGCCTCTCGAGGATATTAGCGGGATCAAGTGACTTGTAATCAGCATGTTCTTGTATCATCAATGCCAGAGTATCAAATGAGGAATCAAGCGATCTCAGCAATTTCTTCACCACCTCATGGTCGGTGATATCAGTGGCACCAAGTGCTTGAAGCTCATTTAAGATGTCAGTGAGGCGATCGAAGGTCTGCTGAACATTTTTATTGTCAGTCTTTTGAAGCGGTTGAAGAGATTGCGAAGAACATCAACTCGAGAGTCACGCTGTGTTGAGACTCCTTCATTGACTTTGGACAGCCTATCCCAGATAAGCTTAGCAGTTTCCAAAGCATTCACTCTTCAATATTGTCCTTTGCTCAGATGACCACATATGATATTCTTCGCTTGAGAGTCGAGTTGCTTAAATCTCTTCACATCAGCGGCATTCAGAGAAGGTGTGACTGAGGGAACACCATTGTCCACAACATACCAGAGATCGTTGTCAATTGCCTCAAGATGCATTCGCATCTTATTTTTTCAGTAGGGGTAGTCTGTCCCATCGAAGGTAGGACACCCAGCAGAGACCTTGATCATACCTGCGATCGACATAACTAAAACTCCAGGCGGTTAAACCAAAATCACACAGAACAAGGGAGTACCTTGCTCTAATACCAATTGAAAGTGCGTTATATCGACTAGAGGGGGGGTGAATAGGCAATTTTTATGAATTCTTCACTGAGGAATTTGCAGGTGAGGAAATTCCTTAGCGAAGAACTACTAGCAGCGGAATAAGTACTCAAAAGTAAACATAATAGAACACAAACATAGTCTTCATGATGAAATGAAGACAAGCACAGAGTATATAAAGCGTAAGCACAGGATAACACAGGATGAAGACAAACAGACTGAAGAAATTGAACTGAATAAATTGAGAAAGTCTTCAGTCAGAGTCTTCAAACACAGATACAAACAAACACTCAACACCGTTATGAGGAAATGAAGGAGTTGAGGAAATAGAACCAGTGAGCTTGGTGAAGATAATGATTTGGTAGACCAGTTCCAACTGCTGTCTCGGTTGTACATCTGGTTGGAGCGGCTAGGTATTTAAACTTGAGGACACACAGTCCTCACCGTATTCTCCTTGAGCTAAGGTCACGCAGACCTCGCCCAATCACTCGTGGTAAGTCTTCAGGTGACTTCCGAACCTTCACAAACTTGGTCACTCGGTGATCCACAATTCCTCTTGGATGCTCTAGACCTTGACGCCTAACCGTCTGGAAGAAGCACAGTCTTCAAAGGTAACAAGTGTCGGATCCATGCAGGATCAATCTCTTCAGTGATGCTCAATCACTTTGGGTTTGTAGGTGTTTGGGTTTGGGTTTTCCTCACTTGATGATTTTCGCTCAAAGTCCTCGGAGGATGGGATGCTCTCAAATGACAAGTGTCAGTTTCTCTCGGAGCAGCCAACCAGGTAGTGGTTGTAGGGGGCGGCTATTTATAGCCTAGGGAACATCCCGACATGATAAGACATAAATGCCCTTCAATGATATGACCGTTAGGTGGGTAGATATTTTGGGACAGCTGGCGCATAGCACAACAACGATCGGAATTTTGAGTAGCAAAATCCTCAGGGCTATCATGTTTCTCACTGTGTAGGCAATCCGCACTGGCGAATTCCTAACTCCTCAGCCAGAACAAATTCCGCAGAGACCAGAAGAACTTCGTCTTTGTCACTGAAGAATATGACTGAACTATATGAGATTTCCAATGGCTTCACTCGAAGGGATTGGTAGGTGTAGGATTTTGAGTTGAGAATCACATGGAAATTTTTCCTTAGTATTTCCTTGACCCCCTTTAACAGTACGGTGTTTCCTATGACTCAAGAAAGAGAAAATGAAACTACGAAAACAAAAGTCTTCACGCTTCATGTTCCTCGAATGAATACCAAGTCTTCAGGATTGCACCAATTTCTTCACTTTCAAAGTCTTCAGAAATCCAAAGTCTTTAGTCGAAGAACTTCATTTTAAGGGGTCGATTTTCTCTGTAAATATCAAACTCCTCATAGACTTATAGACCTATGTACACTCAAAAACACATTAGTCCCTTAACCTATAAGTCTTCAATACACCAAAATCACTAAGGGGCACTAGATGCACTTACAGAAAGCTTTGTCAATCTTTTTCCAATAAAGTGTTGCAAGCAAATGTGGGATCTTACAATGTTTTCTGCACCATGTTTGTTAATATGCGGGCATATCTTTTTAATGATGTTGCACACACATGGTTAACTTTTTTTGTGAAATACACAATTAACTCTTTTACATGCAAGGTTTCCTGTTTTCACCACCAAAACTATCTGGAAGTGGGTTTTATAGATTCCATGCTACATGTAGACCATGTTTCAATAAAACTACTCCTAGCAATGAAAATAAATAGAGTGTGCTAGACATACATATATTCTCTTGTTGGATTGAGCAACTAAGAACATACCATTGGTACACACTATCGGCAATATGTGTAGATAGAAGTGAATACAACACATTGGTTGCATGTTTCGTATGTACAACAAAACAAAGTGTTTTAAAGCATGGCCGATGCTTGCTGCTTGTAGACCAAAGTGACCACCTGCAAAAGGATTGGCTCCTCTCTAACAAAGTGAAGAGCAAAAAAAAAGCAACACATAAGGACTTTGACTTTTGTAATTCTTAAAGAATGTTATGCGATAAGAGAAAACTGCAGCCCACAAGATGGTGCCTTAGGAATTTGTGTTGAACAACTCTTGGTTGAAACAACAGCCTCACCATTTCGTGCCTCGGTAGACTTACAAGAGCGATGATTGGCGTTGCTTCCTTTGACCATGTTCTTTTAAGTGTTGCATGCAGGACAAATTTTTCTTCCTCATTCCGTTTTTTTACTATGAAACTTTTGATCTATTCATCAACTGTCAAATTAGTACAAAAAACATCAAAAGTTAAAAAAAACATCCATTTCGTATACAACCTAGCACGACTACAAGCACTGAAGCGAGTCGAAATCTTATGTGTTTAGTCCGTGTCTTGCAAATGTGTTCTCTAGTATACTCGATAGGCCACATGGGTAATTTGAGCAAAGCTTTTCTCGACAAAGGGTTTGAGGTTTTGAGCAGATTGTTTTTTTAGCGTTAGGTTTTGAGCAGATTCTTTTTTTCTTTGAGGGATAGGTTTTGAGCAGATGAATTCCCTCAGTCTGACGAGAAACACACGCGCCGCGAAGCACTGGACCGGGCCAAAACTTCCTTCCAGGACGGAGAACCCTGCAGTGGCAGGCTGGCAGCCCACCTCCGTCCTTTCCTCCTTCCCTCCCAGCGGCGGCGACGGACGACGGCCGTTACGGAAACTCCCAAACGGCTAAACCCCACCGGACTCACCCGACCAATCGCCCGCCCCCGCCGCCTCCCGTGGAGCCAGCGCAGCCGCGCCCGCTTCCGCGTTCAGAAGCATGCCGAGGCCTCCTCCGCCCGGCCGAGGGGCTCCGGGCGCCAGGCGGCCGATGCGGGACTTCTTCGCGGCCTGGCTCGCCACCCTCCGCTCGCCGCTCCTCCCGTTGCTCCGCCGCGCGCTCTCCTCCTCCCCAGGCGCCTGGAACGACCCATTATCATCGGCAGCCGCCGCCGTCGATGCCCACTTCGAGGCGCACTGGTCCGCCCTCGACTCGGCCGCCCGCCAGGACCCCGCCCAGGTCATCTGCGCCGGAGATTGGCGGTCGCCCCTGGAGCTCCCCTTCCTCTGGCTCGGCGACTTCCACCCCTCCCTCCTCACCTCCCTTCTCCGATCGCTGTCGCCTTCGCCGCGGCTCCTCGCCTCCGCCGACCGCGTCGACCGCCGAATCCGCGCCGCCGTCCCCGTCCTCTCCGACCGCCTCCGCCACGCCCAGGAGGTCTTCACCTCCGCGGAGGTGGCTGGCGGGGCCGACCTGGAGGCGTTCTTGGAAGAGCTCAAGGCCGTCGCCCTCGAGGCTAATCGGCTCCGTCGGGGCGTTCTTTCGGATCTCGTTGCTGCCGCCGGTGGGCACCAGGCGGCGCTCTTCCTCGAAGCTCTGTCGCGCTTCGTGCTCTCCATGCACGACCCGGAGGTGCTCCGCCGCTTCGACCATTGTCGCCCCTCGCCTGGTAGTTAGCCCCTCTTCTTGGCTCGCTAGTTTATATTCTGTTTCTTGAGTTCTTTGGGTTGTGCAAATCTTGGTTTCTGGGAGGAATTGATACTAATGAAGCTTCATGTAAAAAAATTGAGACAACGTTAATAGTACTCCCTCTGTAAACTAATATAAGAGTGTTTAGATCACTAAAATAGTAATCTAAACGCTTTAGTTTACGGAGGGAGTATGTACGAAGGGTTAATGCCAAGAAAAAAAATGGCGTTCTTCTGTATGTTTGGCTGTGATTCTTCTTCTCTGTAACAGAAATGTTGGACCTTGGAGTATTTGCTAAGATGTGCGAGGAAAAGTCTGGAATGTCTTGTGAGTTGTTTTTAAGGCGTCCTGCCTTGGACGCTTAGGCGATAAGGCGCCCGGGCAGCGCCTTACAAATATGCCCGCCTTAGGTGCTTAGGCGTCTGCCTTAGGCGCTTAGGCGTCGCCTAGGCGCTAGAGCGGGTGGTGCTCGCCTTAGGTCGCCTTACCGCCTTAAAAACAATGTTGTGACTGAAGTTTTTTAGTGTATTGCATTAGGAGTCTTAATCCTCTTGCAAACTATCTCTTGAAGTTATGGATGGATTGAATAGGATTGATGAAATGTTAGCAGCAGGGGAATTATATTTTCATGAACATTGAAGAGATAATCTATGTTGTTTGTTTCATCTTCTTTTGATGTTTAGCTGAATATTGTTTGTCATTTAGTTCTTTTCAGATTAGAAAAGTTGGCAAAAATTGCATGTCCTGCTCTTTATCCTCTAAAAAATATTTGTTGTTACATAACAATGCCGGTATTATTGTGTTGTTCACATTGTGTGCACATGTATCATTGTTACCGTGTATATTGCTTGTGTCTATCTTTTTGGTGATAAAATAGTTGGTTTTTGCAAAACCGATAGTAATTTGCCCATCAAATAGTTTGCTGAAAATTAACAGACTTTTACATCAGATTGCTTTCCTGTGAATTTTTTACCTGAGATTTTCTCTGCCCTCACAAGTCATAACTAGCATCTTGGTGTCTGAAAATGAGGTGTGACACACACTGTTTAGTTTCTTTTCCAATGTTTAGTCAGTAATTGGTTAGCAAATGTAAATCTCTGACAGTATTGTTTACTCAATGACTCCTAAGGTTCACTTGCATTATGCTAGCCTCTGTGCTTTTTTTTTACCTGGTTATATACTTAAATTATGCTAGACGAACACTGTAGGAAGATGGCAACTCGTTATGTTTTAGGCAGCAGTGCCACTAAGTTTAATCTGCAACGGTCATAAATCTTTGAATGTTGTTCCTGCGAGTAATGAAGTCAGGAAACAATCATGCACCAATTATTGGACGAAATTGTGTAAGGGCATTGCGCCATTGCCCCAACTCAATAAATTTGCATCTAAAGGCATGTGACTGGTCTGAACTTCATTGTTTCAATGTATTTAGCGTGGTGTTGGGCTTGAACAAATATTTATGCCTCTAATGGCCGAGACCCTAACTGGATTGATTATTACTTGGACGAAGGGAAGGTAAAGAAAAACAATCTGATTCTCAGGTAATCTTGACCATTTGCTAATATTGCCAGTCAGAATCAGCACTTGGTGAATTGGTTGGTTTAATGACTTAATTTGAATGCTCCCGTGTACTATATCAAATATGACTCAGCCTAGTCTAACTTTGTAACTACAGTTTATATTGCATTCAAAGCTTTGGAGAGAAAAGGAACGTCCTGTAAAGAATAGCTTTACTAGAATCTTGTGAAGATCGGCTGAACTACATGATGTCCTTAACTATTGTCAGTTGTCACGCTGTTCTGCCAAAAACGGTTAAAGGGTGCCATTAAGATTTTAGTATTTCTTCAACTTTTGCTAGTTTTATTTGGTACATAAGATTTTACTGCACTGATTTTTTACAAATCATTTGCTATGTTTTTCTTGATAAACAAATCTTTTGGCATTCTTCAAGTCCAAACCTCCATAGGTTTACATCAGATTATGATGGGCGAGTGTACTTGTAAATTTGACGGTAACAAGGGTTTGGCCCCTTTGTTGTTAAGGTCAAGGTTGCCTAGGTCGATAAGAGATTGGAGACTAGATGAACGTGAACCCGAAGCCACTTAATTGCTAGGTCGCCAAGAAGGCAAGAGAATACTTGGAAACCTATTTGATAATATCAATGGTTATTAGGTACGCATACAAAATATAGTTGTAAGTGCACTTCTCACTTGAATGCATAGCACCAGTTACTTTCCAACCACATAACGAAATGTCTGATCCAGCACAAACTGTAATCAGTCATAATTTTGCTATGCTGTGGGAATATATCCACATCAATCACCTTCCCTTGGAAATTGTATCTTTTATATCAGCTGGAAGGCAGTTAACCACTGGATACGATTCAGCAGTTTGCATTGTTTCTTTAGATATGCACCAAAGACTAAACTTATGCTTGTATAAATTCAACTGTTGGGGATAGTTACTGGATGTATTTTACATGCGTAGATTCTTCAAAGTCTCCTTGACCAATATTATACTTCTATTCTTGTTTGAACTTCTTATGTTTGTACTCTTGCTGTTTGGTACTACCTCTGGAACTTAATGTAAGACGCTTTTGCAATTCTTGAACTGCAAAAACGTCTTACATTAAGTTACAGGAGTACAAAATTACTTCATTAGCTTGGATAACTATTTCCGAAGAAACTAGACCAGGTACAGCGTGTAGAACTTTGCTCGGACACACTAATCAGAACAAAAATCTGAGCTAGTTCCAAAGCAACAGGAAGTCCTGGCTATGTACATAAAGAAACTCAGGATGATATTTATTTTTGTGGTCGAAAGAACAGTACCTTTACAGTGTTTCCATGTGAGGATATAGCACTGTTGGGTTGCATAATGCTCTCCAAAAATGCTCCCTAGATCCAAATGTTTGCATAGCAGATCCACTATGTTTGCATGGCTCTCTTGACTCTTGAGCAATGATGCCCTCAGGTTTCTTCTTGTTTCCTGTTTGGCAGTTGTACTTCTAGACTACTATAACAGATCTCTCAGAAGTCATGTCCATATTATTCTCTTCTGCTTTAACCTCAAGAAAAAGGTGAAGATTTATTGATAGAACAATGAGTGCACGTTGTTTTCCCTTGCTATAGCCTGACAAAAAATGATCCTCCCTTGTTTAGTTCAGATGAATGTATACTAGCCCTATGTCTTCCTTTTCATTCATCACACAACCTTTTCATCATCCATGAGACATTCACATAAATTTATTTCCCTTAATATCACCTTTTCCTAATTAGTATGTACTCTATAAATCTTATAAACTTGTTTTTAGGATAATTATATACTTTGAATCTTCTAAAGTAATTGCTTTGCCTGGTTAGTGTTCCGCAGTCTTCCATCTTTTATGTCTTTTGGTCTAACATAGACATCCACATAAAGTAATCTTCTCAAGTCCTTATGATATCTTGCTGCCATGTTGCCCTGACAGTTCTGCATGTTTCCCATTTATTATGAAAAAGAAAATACCAAGTTGAGAAATTAGTTACTGCAAATATAGTTCTTGGAAGCTTTTGTGATCTCGCATGCAGAAGTGCATCAAATAATAATATCTTTAGTCATGTTGGCGGTGGGCAAGGAGGGATGAACTGCAAAAGTGCAAATTGAAGTTCCTTTTCTCATCTGCCAAGTTGTACCATTTTGTCGTAAGCTGCCCTACCAAAGCCTTGACCTCTCAGACTGATGATGGTATAATGGGAAGCTGTTGCCGCCTTTTGTGCTTGTCTGCATAGTGACCAGAGGAAACTCCCGAACCCTGTGCACATTTTTATGTTTCATTATGCACATATGGGCTCGTTAATCAATGATAAGGAAACTTCTGTGCTGGTTTGTGAACAAAGTTTAGGCTATCCTTTGGTGTTAAGGTAAGTTCGTGTCATTCGTGTAGTTTTCACCCGGTTCTCCACTAATTAAATGGGCAATTCTCTTCTGCTTAATTAATAGATTGAGGCCCCTGGGCTCCAGTTAAAAAAGTTATCCTCGGTCGTTAAGAGATCGCATCACTAGTCAAATCAGACATATGGTGCCAGTGTTACTTGCTAGTTCTAGCAAGAATATATTAAAAGACCTATTGGTACTCATAAACAAAGTGAAATTGTAAGTGCATTCATCACTTCAATGCATAGCACCAGTAACTTTACAGCCACTGAAAGAAATGTCTCATTGAGCTGAGCAAAAACTGTAGCCAGCAATAACTTTGCTATGTTCTAGGAATAGGTTCATGGGCAATCATCTTCCCTGGAAATATTATCTTTGGTATCAATCAGAAAGGCCAACCACTGGATGCTATTCAGCGTTTAGTTTAGTTTTCGCCAGGTCTGTACCGAATACTAAGCTTATGTTTGTAAAATCAGCACTTGGTGATACTTATAAGATGTACTCCCTCTGTATTAAAATATAAGACGTTTTTGACACTATGAGAGTGTCAAAAAACGTCCTACATTTTGATATAGAGGGAGTAGTATTTTAGATGCATAGATTCTTCCAAGCCTTCTTGGCCAATATTATTGTATTTGTATGTGTCCCTTGAACTTTTTAAGTTTGTATTCTTGCTGCTGGGCATAAAGTATTCGCAATACAGCATTGATAATTATTTCCCAAGAAACTGGACCAGGTGCAGCCTGCAGAACTGGGTTCACATTAGTCAGAACAAAAACCTAAGCTAGGTGGTCCAAAGCAACAGGAAGTCCTAGCCTTGTATATAGAAACTCAAAATAGTATGTATTCTGGTGGTCCAGTCCAGTGCATCAATAGGTCGACCTACAACCATACAGTCTTATACTAAGTAAATACATTTTGTGTGGTCCTATAGAACAGTATCTTTACAGTTTGCTCCATGTGAGGACAGGACTGTTGGGTTAGGTTATGGTCTCCAGAACTGCATTCGAACATCCAAATGTTACCATAGTAGATCCACTATGTTCGAATGACCCTCTTGACTTTGGAGGAGTTATGCCCTCTAGGGATCTTGTTGTTTCCAGTCTGGCAGTTGCACTTGTAGATGACTAACAGATCTTGCAGAAATCCTGTCCATATCTCTTCTTCTCTGGCCTCAAGAAAAACACGAAGTTGCATTGATGTATTGACTATTCCATTGTTTTCCTCTTCAGTGTTTCTGGGAGTATTTGTTTTCTTCAATATCACATTTTCTCAATTAAAATGTAAACAAATTTGAAACTTCTAAAGTAATTGTAATTATTTGACTGGGTCAGTTTTGTGCGGACTTCCATGTTTGGCCTAACATAGCTGTAGTGTCAGAGTATCTTGGAGCACTGTTTGCACTGACTGTCCTGCATGTTCCCAATTAATTATGCGAAAGAAAGTGCCAAGTTGTTTCATTAGTTACCACAATCTTTTGAAGATCTTGGAAGTTTTTGTAGCCTCGCATTGCAGAAGTGCATCAAATGATAATAATATAGTTTTCAAGACCATGCAGGCCAGCTGTCTCCTGCATGTGATTTACATCAAATAATAATGTTTTGAACTGCAAAAGTGCAAATTGAAGTTCCTTTTCCCATCTGCCAAGTTGGACCATTTTGTCGTACAGCCTAAGCCTTTGGATTTTGGAATCATAACCTTCCCTAGTAAAAGCCTTGACCTCCCAGGCTGATGCTGGTATAGTTACAACCTGTAGCCTTGTTTGTTTGTTTGTTTGTATAGTGACAAGACGAACCTCCTGAGGCCTCTGTAGATCTTTGTGTTTTCATTATGCGACATGTGGGGTTTGTTAATGACAGTGATTAGGAAAATTAAGACGATAAGATCAACAATGTTTGCTGGCTGGCTGGCTGGCTTGCACTTGTTTAACCATGATCTAAGCTTGATAGCTATCTGAAACACCTAATAGATCTGAGGGGTGCACGCTTCACATGCTTCTGAACTACTAAATGTACTTGAAATTGTAGGTTTTTCCTGTTGGCCAACCAGATCATCAGTAGTCCTTACTTCATGTGCTCTTTCGAGTTTTTAAAAGCACTTATGAGTGTGTGTATATATATATATATATGATGATCTCATTGCTGTCCTATTGATGTTGAACAATTTTCTTGGTACCCATGCCCATCGATCAATGATGGTTAATGTACACTGCAGCATCAGCACATCTGGAATGCTGCGTGAATCGATCTGAATTCAGTTCATCAGGATCCTATTGACTATTGACTGACCGCATACGTGTATTGCTATTGCAGGCATCTTTGGGAGACACGAGGCGCGGTAGCACCGGCCGATGCAGTAGCGAGGAGACCGAACCGAGATTTCCTTATCAGGTATGGTCAAGCACACACGCATTTTGCTACATCGGGTGCCCATCTTTCTTGGCACATGCAACATTTTGTAATGCTCCTCTTCCTCTTGGCTTGCCTCTTGGCAGCAGCTAGCGGCGCATCAGGTGTGGTGGATGGAGGTGGCGGTGGATGGAGGTGGCGGACGTCCAGTCCAGGCGACTCGAAAACGTTACCAGCACTGACTTCCAGGGGGCCAACTGCATGGATCCGACTGGACTGGATCGATTTCCGAAAACGCATCACGTCGCCAGCACTGACGTCTCAGTGCTAACACCTGTTCAAAATCGTCGTAATACCACACCGTTTTGTTGTTTTAGTTGGGGCATTGAAAGGGAAAAGGCGACTCGTGGTAGCTGCACGTTTTGTTTATAGTGTTGACAGCGTCTCTCTAAAGAAAAAAGGTTAGTGTTAACATCGGCATGAAGTAGTCTAGCCACCGGCCGTTGAGCGTTGCTGTATTCTATTGCGGATGCAGTTATGGAGGAAGAAATGTGTGAGGTCCGTTTCAGTCAGACTGTCAGAGTATCAATCAACCAAATCTTTTGCTTGCATCGTCCCTCTGAGAAACAATATACTCCCTCCGTTCTCAAATATTTGTCTTTCTAGCCATTTCAAATGGTTACAACATACAGATGTATGTAGACATATTTTAAAGTGTAGGTTCATTCATTTTGTTTCGTATGTGGCCACTTGTTGAAATCTCTAGAAAGACAAATATTTAGGAACGGAGGGAGTATATGATGATCATCTCAGCAACCGACTGTGTATGTTTTGGTTGGCCCTCGGGGCAGCATTGCATTGCTATTACTTTAAATCTGGGTTCGGTTCACCTTCGAGGTACGGAGAACGGCGCCGCATTTTTCTGTGGGTGTTGAGAAGGAGAGGACATGCTCTGGGAGTATTATGCATGTCAACATCGATCGTACCCGTCGGTTATGCTGTTGAGATGCTAGTTTATTTGCAGAGGCCTCTGCTCCGTCATTTGTTTATCTCATCTTGTTGGCCCGGTTCCCGCCACCAAACATGGCAAACCGCTGTGTTTTTGCCCCTCGGCCCTGTTTCTTCTTCCAAACGAAAAAGGAAGAAGAAAACGAAATTAGGCCCTTACGATTGCGCGCGGCGGCTCTTCTCGCCGTCCAAGGGCCAACGCTGGCACGGCAACACTACTCCCGGCGAAGGACATGTCGGGGCCGTTCCTTCCGCGCAAGGTTTCACCGGTAACATCAACGTTGTTGCAAGTTAATAATGCAAGTTGGAGGAAGAAGCGCAAGCAAGTTGGTGCGGCCACGGTCGGGGTCGAGAACGTGCAGACAGCTACCGCGAGGCGAAAGCATGTAGTCTTTTCGTGTCCCCCACCCCGGCCCGTCCTGCACTGTACCCCGCCGGTGCCGGTGCCGGTGCGCTTTTCGCCATAATCACGACGGCGACGGCGAGGGCGACGGCGACGGGGCATTCCGCCTCCAGCGCTCACCGGAAGCAGGCCGGTGGCACCCAGCACCAACAGCGGACGCGCGCATCTGCATCGTACCGGTCAATCCGACCGACCCGGCGTACCATCGCGTCCGGAGACGCGCGCGGACGCGAGCACGTCCCTGTCGTCGTCGTCGCGCGAAAGGGAGAGGCCCGCGTGCCGTCGGGCCGGGTGTCAGTAAACCGTGGGAGGGTCGGCTGGGCGGGAGTGGTGTGCCGTGTGCCGCAGTAGTGGTAGGTTGTTTCCTTGCGGCGGCGGCCGGTTTGGACTGAACCACGAGGCGGCCGTGACGGGGTAGTGAGTGGAGGGGGGCCCGGCGCGTCGACGCTGATGCGACGCCAGCTCCACGCTGAGAAGGACGCGGCTGCGGCCGCGTTGAGGCTGACGTGGAGGGGGCATCGGACCGGGTGTCAGTGGGAGGGTAGACCGTGCGGGCCCCGCCAGCGGGTGGGCTACGCGTCCGTCCGGTGGGTGGAGAGGTCGCTGGCCGTCAGTTCCGGAGGTAATTGCTGGATGCACACGTTGACATATACATGGATTCCATGGTCTCCTAGAGCTAGAGGGAACAATTACGTTGCGTTTGGATGTATGTAATGCTATTACCTATTTGGGTTTGGTTTTCACTAGCCTCAATTCAGTTGTTTGGATGTATACTCTGAAATAGATAGAAGATGAATGCAACAAATTGATCGGTTCTTTTTACGAAAACAGATTGACCAGTTAATCGAAAAAGGTGAAAACTGTTTTTTTTTCCCACAGAACTTACCCTGCATGCATTATATGAAATCTCTTTTATCAGGTTCATCATATATGGAGTATGTGTTGCCCACTAACGTCGCAACTATATACTGCCCACCGAGTGAACTCACGGACAATCATTTTAAGAAAAAGAAGGGCAGTCTTCGTCCTCATTGTGATGCACACCGTCAAATTTATTAGAGAGAGCGAGTATGAACTCAGGGTACACACAAAAGATGTGACCCTGGATTGAACTCAGGGTATACACAATGAGGTTCTGCACTTGCGCAGATTCACATTGGCATGAAAATTGTGTGATCTATTATAAGAAGCAAAGTATGATCGATAAGTTTGTCCTCTTGCACGCAAAAACATTGTGATGTTACTTAGCCCTTTTCAAATAATTTATGTAATAGATATGGATACAATCTCCAAATATAACTTTGGTGGCGCTGAATATAATACAGAATTACTTATGATAATACAAAGATTTAAAATAATTTTGATGACAAGTGTTGTTTCATTTTAGTGGACACAACTAGCCTGTGGACGTGATAATTGTATCACTCTAGGGCAACCCATATTTCCCTTGCAATCTGCATGCTTGCGGATACTGTGAAAAACCTGATGTCATTGAGATCTTTCTGATTTTTAAAAAAATTCTAAATGTTTTAGCTCCCAAATAGTGAATCTGACACTCCCCCAATCCGAATTAGTTGACATAGTCTCTACAATGTAATGAAGACATTATACAGAGACCACGCCAATTAATTATGATCCAAGGAGTACAATTTATCTTCTTTTTTTTTGCGGGGAAGTACAATTTATCTTCCTGGTCGACTTTGTCTGAATAAAAGGTTTGATACTGTATCTGGTATGTGCAACGCACGGAGAGGCAACATACTCCACAGCCAGTGAATTGACCTAATTTTACTCCTTTTTGAACAGCTATCACGAGTCCTTGTTCGATGAATCTAGACAAAACAGAATGGTTTGAAATCCACGTGCACCCCGCGATTGCACCTGCCAAATACATTGCCTAACAAAAACATGTAAGCCCATTGAATTCTTCAAGATTTTTTCTGGCCTCCGCCTCTATTAATAGTCTTGGCATCGACGCCATTCTACACCTCTTTTTTTCGAGGGTACGCCAAAGGCGTACCTTAGCTTTATAGAAGGGAGAAAATATGTACAAGAGTTTTACAAATGCGCTAGTTGGTAGTCACAAGCCGACCCCAACCAAGCCTCCACCCCACTCCTAATGCTACACTACTACTCGGATATAGGTCGTCCTCCAAAAGCTCCTGCCGTAGCCCAAGTCCTCAAATCGTCGAAAATCAAGTCCATATTTTCCCATTCATTCTTGACTTGGCTTGATCCGAACACTCTCGCGTTCCTCTGTTTCCAAAGTGTCCAGCAAATGAGCATCACGAATGTGTCGAATCCTTTTCGAGTTTGCTTATGTATGCGTTTTCTAGCTTCCGTCCACCATTGTACCAATCGTGACTCATGTGTTGGGCAAAGCTCCGTCCTCAACCCCATCCTGGTCATGCATCTGTACCACACTTGCCTTGAAAACACACATTGCTGCAAGATGTGGTCAACCGTGTCTTCCTCTTGATCACAGAAGTAGCATTTTGATGTTTGGTCTTCCAAACCGTGTCTAGCCCTTCTGTCCGACGTCCACAATCGATATTGCACGGCCAGCCACATGAAGATTTTACACGCAGGTGGCGCCCAACATTTCCAGATTGCTCCGAAAGAGTGAAATCTAACTCCTCCCTGACAAAGCATCTTGTATGCGGATGATGCGGTGTAGACTCCTGTCACATTCCAAGCCCAAATGGGGCTATCCTCAGTTTGAGCATCCAATTGAACCTCCGATATGATCTCCCAAAGTCCAATGAACTGGGTAAGAACCTCCGTGCACAGGTCACCCACAACGTCGTTCATCCAATCATGCGTGCACACCGCATCACGTACCAGCCTCCTGTTGGCCACCTGCGTACGTACTGCCGCCACAACCAAGGGAGCTAGCTCTGTGATGGTTGCACCATGGAGCCATCGATCTTTTCAGAACAAAATTTTGTCTCCCGCTCCAACCTTCCATTTAACCAGGCTCCCAAAAGCGTGGGCAACCTTTTTGTCCGCGGTCCAGTTGATCCCTTGCCAAGGCCTGGAAGCATCCATGCGTCTGAGCCATTCCCATCGTAATCTTAAAGCAATGTCGTGCTTAGATAAGTCAATAACGCCCAAGCCGCCCAAGTGTTTTGGCCTGCATACCCTTGACCAGGACACCACACACTTGCCGCCATTCACCTCCTCCGTCCCGGCCCAGAAAAAAGCCCGGCAACCTCTGTCCACTCTTTCCAGGGCCCATTTTGGCGCCTCGGCAACCATAAGGTGGTGTGTGGCCCGCGCCCTCATGACTTGGTTGACGAGGATAAGCCTCCCAGGTCTAGTCACCAAGCCCATTTGCCATCCCGGCAGAATGTGAAGGGCCGCATCCACAGTCGGCTGCCGCTCGGATCTCTTGAGTTGTTTGATGCTTAGCTGGAGGCCTAGGTATTTGCATGGAAAGGTGGTGATCTTCCAGGGCAGCACCGACTTAACGAGCTCTTCATCCTCAGTCTCAGCTCGGATCATAATTGCCGATGATTTGGCGAAGTTTACTTTAAGCCCCGATGCCACTCCAAAGATAGTGAGGATTTCCTTAACGAACAAGAGATCAGGCCATGTTGGTTTGATGAATAGTACTACGTCGTCCGCTTTCCTCGCTCATTGAAACAACGAGATGAGCCCGGTGATTGCTGGAAGGGAACAACAAGGACATGGGGGACGGGCGCCGCCGTAAGCTAGGTTTAGGTCTTGTCGGTTTTTTAATTAAAATATATTGAAAGTGTAATGAATGTGCTCTGGTTTAGATGAAAATCATCCGGTTTATGTAATTCATCTAGTTTGTTGAAATCCGGTTTAAAATGTATGCGGCTATGATTGGATGGCCGGCTTCCGCACTAGTGTTCGCGGACTGCCTCGGTCCGCGGACAGATACGGTGTCTGGTTTGAGGATCAGTGTTGGAGATGCCCTAACTGTCCATGCACCTGAACGTTTTAGCATGCAGCCTTGCGATCCTCCTTTTCCAGATAGATCACAATGTGTAGATGATCCCCCTTTTTCTAGAATAGCTATTACACCTTGGGAGGGGTGTTATTAATCTTCCCTAACTTGCCTCTTAAAATGCAAAATGTTTATTGGGATCGGTCAAACAAAATATTGAAAATGTACTGAGCGAACGTTTACACGACTTCTCATCACTAAGTGGTTTACAAGACAGTCCATAAAAAGAGCAAAAGAAGAACCAAGTCATACAACATTTTTTTTGCCTCTATCCTACCCTTGAAGCATCATGACTGCAATCGTGCTCCGCGCCAAAAAGAACGAAAAAAATCTTCAGGCTAAACCGCTTGTCCGATTTATAATCCCCTTGTTTGCATCGTCGGGGATTTTGCAAGTATATCTTACTTGCTTATATTTCATCAAAAGATAGTTGAGACCCAAAGTTGCCATCCAACGATTTTATGAAGTTGCCACTATATATATACAGTAATATTCAAAACGCAACTAATAACACATGATTGGATACCTCAAATATGAATGTATTACTTTTCTTTTGTCATATATTTTCCATAGTAAATACTACTCCTTAGTAGTACTAGTAGATGGGTAAGTGCAATGCACGTTGATATTTTTCCGCAAAAAAAAGCACGTTGATATCGGCCAGATATTTTTTTGCCTGTCATACTAGACAGACATTGATTGCACACACATATTAGGTACTCCCTCCGTCACGGTTTAGAAGGCGCGCTTAGAAATTCTCTGGGACCTAGGTGGTTATCTATTGGTTGTGGGATGTGCTAAAAAATAGCATTCACACTACGCATGCATATAGAAATAGTATATCAGAGTACTAATTAGCTACTAAAAATAAATGCAATGCGCCCTAAACCTTGTCTATTGTGGAAATGCACGCAAATTTAACCGTGCCTTCTAAATTGTGACGGAGAGAGTAGTATATTATTAATGCATTAATTACATGATTAGCTCTGACATGAATATTGGTAAGTACTGTAACTAATTGCACGCTAAATATGCTGAGCACTCACCACGGTAGAATAGGGGCCAGTTCTTTTGGGCAATTCTCCGAGAATTGACCCCCTCCCCAGCTTCTCCCAGAATTGCCACTTCATCTTTTTTTACAATTCCTAGCTAGTTAAGATCTAATTAGCTAGGAATTGTAAGAAAATATAGAGTGCCAATTCTGGGAGAAGCTGGGGAGGGGGTCAATTCTCGGAGAATTGCCCAAAAAAACTGGCCCTAGATATAGAATTATAGATGTAGATATTTTGTACTTATTTTTGTAAGTGAAGGGTAGTGCAACGCGAGGAGAAGAAACGTGCTCCACAACCGGTGAATTTATCTAATTTTACTACTTTTTCAACAGTTATATCACGTGTCCCTGTTCGATGAATCTGGATGAAAAAAAAGAAAAGAAAGGGGTTTGAAATCGCGTGGGCTCCCTCGAGTGAACCTAGCAAATATACATGGCCTAACAAAAACATGTAGGCGCCATTGAATTCTTCAAGATTTTCTTGCCCTTTTTCCTGCCTCCGCCTCTATAAATAGTCTTTGGCATCGATGCCACTCTCCCCCTCTCTCCCCGCCTTCCTCTCCTCGCGTATTGTTGGACCCCCGCTCTCGCCCAATCCAAGTCTCTTTCATACTAAGGTGTGCATGTTCTTCTTCTCCTAGCCAGTCGCCTAGTTTACTTGCTCGCATGCAATGCTCGGTTGGTCAAATATTTGTTCTTGAGGAGTATTCTTCCAAGTTCTTTCGTGTTGATGCATCTGCCGAAAGGCACAGCAAGGGCCAAAGCTGGACTGAAATTTGCTAGGGGACTCTCCTCCTCCTCTCTGTCCCTATGAAATTTGCCAGACAACTGGTTGCAGTTTGCCAGGGGACCAGAGCCTGCTATTGGATTGAATCCCCTTCTCTTGAGTGATTTGCTAATCTCCTGCGTGTTTTTTTTAGCATTTAGCAGTCAGTGTGTATATGGGCGAGGTTCATTTAATTATTTCGTTTCTTGTAAATCTTCGGCTGAAGATTTGGTCGTCGAGGACAAGGTTGAATTACCGAACTGATAGTCAAGTCAAATGTTTGAAACTTGGCCTTTTCCCACTAACCTGCTGTAACCTGACGTTCTCATGCTTCCATCATAGCTTGGTTCTTATGCTTCGGCCATGGTATAGCGGCGCAATCGCTCTTCTCATATTCGCGCCTCTGGCAATTTAATCGCGCTGAACTTGCGTACAGAACATAGATGCGTTAGGTTTACCTACCGTTCTTAAGTTCAGAGGCAGAAACAGAAACACTCACCAAGGCATTAACACCTGGGCCAGAGCACACATGGCATCAGACATCAGTGATTGGGCCGGCATATCATTGCAGATGTTTATATTCTTTCAGAAAATGTTAATAGTACAAGGTTAAGTATCATATTTCTTTTGGCAATTGAGTAGTTTACCGTACCTTAACCATAGTTAATGCCAACCCAGCTATATGCAAGTTTTTACTTTGACAGTTTCCCTTTTCCTTGTGCTTTTCCTGGATGTTGTTTTCTTCCTCTATCACGATAACGACACAGATTTAACATGGCTTGACACTTGATCCATGTGTGGTTGTCGACGTCGTGCAAGTAACTAGTCTGCTATTTGAACTTTCCGGGTAACTGAAAAGGTCCTCTTGTTGATTAATTCGTGCAGTGACACCTTCTGAACAACGGAGTTTTCTCGAAAAGGAGGTTGAAGCCCGGGCCTCTGCATCATTCTGAACATTGGAGTTAAACGGAGCTGGCTTTGCATGGCTTTTCCTATGTGCCAATCCACTCTTCTGATATAGATGTGTCATCTCTCTCAGCATGACAAGGTACTGTACTACAAATCATCCCGAATTACCTTCTCTTTTCTCATGGAGCAGACGCCCTTTGCCTAACGCTATGCTGCCTTCTCTCCTCAGTTCACAGGTACTCTGCTTTTGATGAACTTCCTCCACACCTGCAGTGACAAGAAAACGCTGAAGAAGTGGTTCTTCATCGACAAGACAGTGGGCTAAGAGAATCCAGCTGAAAGAGAGACGACCGCCGTTCTGACCACATTTTTTCCTCGTCCCACCCGATGGATTTGAGCAACGGCTCACCGGTCATCAGTGATCCGATGTCAATGAGCCAGTCGTTGATGGGAGTGCTGCCTTCCAACATGATGCCGTTTTCAGTCAGGCCCGGAGGTTACTCCGGCGCTGGTGGCGCCGGCGTAAACGTCAGCAGGCGCAAGATCGAGGAGGTCCTCGTGAGCGGGCTGCTGGATGCCATGAAATCCTCGTCGCCGCGTAAGAAGCACAACGTGGTCTTCGGCCAGGAAAACCTGCCCGAGGAAGATCCTGCCTACAGTGCATGGATGGTAAGAAGATTGACTTAGTGAGCAGTAGTCTAGTTACTTATGCCTCTTCTGAAGAAAGACTTACAGATATGCGTCTTGTGCTGCAGGCCAAATGCCCCTCTGCTCTGGCTTCCTTCAAGCAGATCGTAGCCAGTGCACAAGGCAAGAAGATTGCTGTGTTCCTGGACTACGATGGCACCCTGTCGCCGATCGTCGACGACCCTGAAAAAGCCGTCATGTCCCCTGTGGTATGTCAGAAAAACTTGCTTAAACTAGTAACACTTCTTGGTTGTCAACAAATGAGCACCTGCTTATAGTTGTCCCAAAAACATTTTCTCCTTAGATGAGAGCTGCTGTGAGAAACGTCGCCAAGTACTTCCCCGCCGCCATCGTCAGTGGAAGGTCCCGGAAGAAGGTACTGATGACTATACTAACTCTTTGCACATGTCACCTGTACTGATATCAGAATCCTCCCCAGTGATATGCAATTATATGCCTGGTTAATATTATATATGCATGTTTGATATCAGAATCCTAGTGATATGCAATTAATGGCTGGTTAATTTGATAGTTTTATTCCAATTTATGCAGGTTCTTGAATTCGTAAAACTGAAGGAACTCTGCTATGCTGGAAGTCATGGGATGGACATAATGACATCTTCTTCAGCACATTATGAACACAATGCTGAAAAGGTGAGCATTTCCTGCTCATTTGTTTCAGGGATGATAAAATCCACTGTCTTATGCGCGCAATACTCACAATTTCTTAACTCTACTTGTAGGGCAAAGAAGCCAACCTCTTCCAACCTGCTCGCGATTTTCTGCCTATGATCGATGAGGTGCGCTCCTTCTTATTTAACTCTGATGAAGCTGACAAACTGTAATACTTTAGTCGACTGGACAACTGAAACTTCAGAAGATGACAGGGATTCCATTCATGCAAAGCTCAGTGATTCTTGTGTTGTACGTACGTATTAATGGGTATTTTTCGCAACAGGTTTCCAAGGCCCTCTTGGAAGTCACGAGAGGAATCGAAGGCGCGAGCGTTGAGGATAACAAGTTCTGCGTGTCTGTTCATTACCGCAACGTAGACGAGAAGGTAAAAAAGAGACCCTGCGCCTCGAGCACTGGACGCTCTGTTTTGCCTCTTCTCTCGGTCTCTCCTCCCATGGACGGCAGATTCGCCTGACAGTTTTGCCTGCTTGCTGCTCGCAGGACTGGGAGCTGGTCGCACGGCTCGTAAACGAGGTGCTGGAGGATTTCCCCACTCTCAAAGTGACCAACGGGCGAATGGTTTTAGAGGTTCGTCCGGTGATCGACTGGGACAAGGGGAAGGCCGTCGAGTTCCTGCTTCAGTCGCTCGGCCTGAGCGACCCCGAGAACGTGATCCCAATCTACATCGGCGACGACCGCACCGACGAAGACGCGTTCAAGGTTCCCATTTCTTTCTCCGGCAGCTGTGCAGTCCATTCAGATCTTTGATCCAATTGTAAACTGTAAGCTCATGGTCTTCTTCCCCGTTGGTTCCATCAGGTGCTCCGGGAGAGGAACTGCGGGTACGGGATACTGGTCTCGCAGGCGCCCAAGGAAACCGAAGCCTTCTACTCGCTCAGGGACCCGTCTGAAGTAAAGCTCTTTCTAGTTTTCTTGTGCTCTGCTCCTGCTGGCTCTGTTCAACGAATGGATTCCTGATCGATCGTTTGGTTCTCGTGCAGGTGATGGAGTTCCTGAACTCCTTGGTGAGGTGGAAGAAGCACTCGCTATGAACAAACGGGAGATGACTGTAGTTTCCGAGGCGACAGTTTTGCAGCGCTGGAAACCGTAGCTAGGGTCGAATGATGTCGCCGTCCCCTGTTAATTCGTTTAGGTCGATTGATATTCTTGTACTGCTAGTCATGTTCTTTGCCACCGAGAAATTTGATCGGTGGCTGCGTTGGTCTCTTGACATTGTAATTCGCAAGCAATATATAGGCCTTTTCCCTCGCGTTCAATGCTGATAAATAAAAAACATGACTCAACAGCAAGGCCAAAACTCCAGCGAATACTTGCCATCGTCCGGCCCCAGCGCACACCTCCCTCCCCGCCGGCGGCCACTCCGGCCCCGGCGTCCACCCTCTGCTCCGATGGCCTCGGGCTCGCGAAGCCCCCCTTCGGTGTCCTCGACCTTTCCTCGGGAGCGTCCGATTGTCTCTGGGCTGGGGCTCTCGGGGTCGCCTGGCTCGGCGCGCTCCTCATCGGCGGGTGTCGCTCCGGCGGGTGCTGGGGCTTCGGCTCCGGACCAGGCTTGGCGCCAGAAAGGGCCGTCCCGGAAGGCCATGTGGCGTCGCCGGAAGGCGCTCCGTCGTCAGCAGGAGGCTGGCGACGGCCGCCGGAGCTCCTCGCCCTCGTCTTCTTCTCTGCGCCGCGAGATTCCTCAGGACATGTATGGACTCTGCTTTCGCTGTTTCAAGGAGGGGCATCAGCGGCAAGACTGCACCAACGACCCTGTTTGCATTCGCTGCGGCCTGTCGGGGCATGTCTCGTCGCAGTGCAAGAGACCCAGGAGCCCGACCCCGGAGGATGAGCTCCGTCGCGCTGTGATTGCTAAGGTGTCCGGGACGATGCCGGCGCCGCCAGCGGCTGCGGCCATGGGGCGGACATTGCAGGAGCCTGGACAGAGTGCGCCGCGTGCGTTAGCTCTGTCAGTTGCGCCCAATCTCCCCCTCGTGATGGCCGGCGTGGCCTCCCCGGCCGCGCAGGCTGGCATCTGTGTTCTGCAACGCTCTCCGGGGATGGACGAGCTTGAGCGCAGGCTGCAGCTCGCGGTTTTGATGTACGTTGGTGGAGCTAGGCCGCCGGTGTCATGTGAGGACGCGGCGGTCGCCATCTCGCGCCAGCTTGACACACCGCGGCACCGATTCTCCGTGCACAAGTACCACCCCGAGGATTTTCTGGTTGTGTTTGCGTCGCATGAGCTCCGGAACAGAGCGCTGGGTGCCCCCGTGATCGAGCATGACAGTTTCAAGCTCTTCGTCAAGCCCTGGCTTCGTCAAGCTCAAGCGAAATCCAGGATCATGCGGACACAGGTGGATATCATGATTGAGGGAGTTCCGTCGCATGCCTGGTCGCGTGGCATGGCGGCCGAGCTCCTTGGGGATTCTTGCTGGATCGATAGCCTGGCTCCGGAAACTGCTAGCCGAGAAGATCTCTCTCTGTTCAAGCTTCGAGCGTGGTGTGTGGATCCGGACGAGGTGCCGGTTGCCAAGCGGCTGTGGGTGCCTGAGCCGCCGGAGCAGATGCCAGACCCCGCGGCGCGCCGTCCATCCTTCCTGCAATTGCTGGAGTACCCCACCATCATTCACATCAGGCGGATGAGGGATTTCTCCGCTCCGGATCTTTGGAGAAGGGAAGGGAGCTCGGATGACAGTGGGCAGAGCGGGCTGCCGGATGACTCCGACGATCTGGGCCCCGGTGGTGACGTGCAAGTGCTTCCCTGGACGCGAGGAGTTCTGGATGACCGCGGTGCTGGTCGGCGTTCGTTCGGTCCGGCGGCAGGAGGCGGCGGTGGCCGTTCCTACCGGCAAGCCCTGGCTGGCCGTGTGGGGCCCTTGGACTGGAGGATTCCGCCAATGATGGCAGAGCTGTCCGTTAAAGCTACTGATGGGGCCCCTCATGTGCCAGGCTCGGGAAGACCAGGAATTTCGAATCCGAGGCCATGCCCGGCGGTGCCGTTGGCGAATCCGATGCCAACACTTGGCATCCCATCGCCGGCGGATCAGAGCAACACAGGAGTTGGAGGTGCTTTTGACTCGGTCGTGTCCGCTGTCCCAGGTGCGCAGATGGTGGAGCCGACACTTTTGGTAGGCGGACAGGCCAATCATTTGGTGGAGATTGCGGTGGAGCCTTCAAGAGACCACGGTCTGGCAGTTGCGGATCCCACGCCGGTTCCTCTGGCCGTCCCATCGGTAGCTGGGCTGGCAAAGCCAGCTTCGGTGGGGGAGTCGCAGATCCCAGAGCTGAGGTCAGACATGACTGAGTCTATGACTGCCAAGGAGGTGGAACCAGTGGGGCCGTCTGCCGCACTCATGGACACGACGGATCCCATGCCCCAGGATGGTGGTGTGGCAGCCTCTGCTGTCGCTACAAACCTGGGTTCGGAGGCGCACTTAATCCGGCCAGAATTGCTGCATGCCACGCAACCCGAGACGAACGGCTGGCAGCCTATGGAGGAGCTCATCCCACCCAGTTGCCCCGCGGGCCCAGATATCGGTGCGTTGGTTGGATGTGCCAGCGCGGATGATCACCAGGACGGGTCGCCCCAGACTGATGTGGTGGTGGGGCCGCCTAGGGATCTGGTTGATGTTGCATGTGCATGTGACATGACTACGTCGCACAGCATGCAAATCGTGGTCTCGTCGCAGGAATGGGGCGTCCAAGGGACGGGAGTTCTGCCGGAAGGAGATAAACTCACTGAGAAAGAACAGGTCGCCTTGGGCAACATCAAAACTTTCTG